TTTAAAAAAAATAATCATATGGATGGAATCAGACATAATTTCTATTATTTTTTTAAAGATTTACTTATTTATGCATACAGAACTGGGGTACAGGCCAGAGGTGAAGGGGTGGTGTAAGAATTCACCAGAGACAGAGTAGGGAACAGAACAGGCAGATCAACGAAGTACACTGCTGAGGGGAGCAGCTGGTGTGTCAGGAGAGGTCTGCCGGGCCATATGAATCACCTCTGGGGTAGGGGATTGAACTCATGCTGAAGTGGCTTTAGCTTCTCAATGCTCTGCTTTAACCCGCTGCACCACAGGGAGGGCCTCTATTATTTTTTTATTAAGTGACTTTTCTGAATTTCAGGAATCATGTAAAAATGTTGATACTATAATGATAATAATAAAGATTAACAACATTTTGAGTATTTACATGATTATATGCCAGGCACTACCGCAAGTGTTCACTTATACTGGCTTTGTTTAATTCTTAAAACCTTCCTGTAAGATTACTAGGTATCAATAAATACCATTTGTCATTTCACACATGAAAAAAATTTTATAAGGCCTTATATTTAGAAGTCAGAAATAAGAAAGTGGTACTTAAAAAGCAAATAAAAGCAAGACAGACAATAGGGATGAGAGGAAAACAATGAGGATCTGACACATACTTGGTTCTTTTCTCCATCAGTCATAATAAGCTAAATTCAAGCAAAAAACATGTCTAAATTGTGCTATAAAAAATAAAAGTAGGGCCGTCCCTCGTGGTGCAGTGGGTAAATGCAGCACTAAGAAGCTAAAGCCACTTCAGCATGAGTTCGATTCCCGCCTGCCCGGGAGGTGATCTACATGGCGCAGCAGACCTCTCTTGACCCACCTGCTGCTTCCCTCAGCAGTGTACTTTGTCAGTCAGCCTGTTCTGCTTCTCACTCTGTCTCTGGTGAACCCTCTCACCGCCCCTGCAGCTCTGGCCTGTACCCCCGTTCTGTATGCATAAATAAATAAATCTTAAAAAAAATAAGCAAGATGGTTAAAGAATGAGTGCATAGGGGAGAATGGGGGAGTGTCTTTATTAAGAATGGGACTTATAAACCCAATCTCTTCATTTATAGGTGAGAAGACCCAGGTAAAGCCTAAGGTGGGGAGCAGATTCCTCTCTTTTGTTGCTATATTAGCACAGGATATATGTATGTCAGTACTCAATTGGTAAAATATAAAAAGCAAAACCTTTCTGCTGCTGTACCCTCTTAGTTCCTTGCGTTTTGCCAGATGACCCTCAACTTTTCCAACACTTTAGAACAGAAGTGATTTCTTAGTGTGCTGTAAGATACAGCACAGGCACTTAAACTAGTGTACTATCTAGTTTGAGTGGCATGTTTATTTCAGCTAGAGAGCTCTCTGGAGAGAACTCTAAGTAAGGGGAGGTGGTGTGAATGACCAGTGTCCTGGAGGGGCACTGTGTTTGCTTACTCTGCCTGCTGGCAAGGGCAGCAGCCACAGTCACTCAGTGACCAGGTCTGGTCCTGGAGGAAAATGTTCAGATTCCAAATAATGTTAAAATGAAAAGGTAGTAAGCAAGACTCATGTATTTTTGGAAATGTTTCCTTTATTTTATATATTTTAAGGTTTTGATGTACGTTTTGGTCTTTTGGTGAAATAGCTGCAATGTCTCTATGGATGGGTCATTTTAGTACCTTTCACCCCACCTTCCTTCTCTACCTTCCTCCCCACTACCAGCACTTCTGCTTGTCTTTGCACTACCTTACTTTTCTTCATTTGATTTTTTATTTCACTTCTTTTTCTGTACTTTAGTGTATCTTTTCTTCTCATTTAGATCATAAGTTTGTATGGGGATTTCATGCATCTTAATTTAAAGGATATAAACCAGATCAAAATCTGTTGTCTTACTGAAAGGGGTTCTGAATCCAAACTTAAAAAAAAAAAAATCCAGTATAACATTGTATAGTTTGGCTTTTTAGGGTAAGGAAATCTTTGATCTAATTTCCCCAGTAAAGCACTCACTTTTCATGAATTTCTTGTTCTAAAAGTTATCGAAAAACAATTAAAATAGTAGTTATTGAGTTAGCTATGATAGAAGTTGGTTTTTTGAGCAGCAAGAGAAGAGGTACCTTTTTACTCTAAAATTGGTCCTCAAATGAGTACTATCTCTACCCCCTCCAATAAAAAGGTAAAAAATTAGCACCTTAATTCTAAGTAACAGATGCTGTTTTATTTCATAAGATACTGCCCCAGCAAAGGGAGAAATTTACAATTTCTTTATGTTTCTAGGAAAAATAACTATAGGATCTTTAGCAGCAGCATAAGGATAGACAGCTGTGTGAATAAATATGGGTAGGAATGAATAGTGACTATTACAGAGCTAACCAGTTTCAAGAAGGCCATATGTACAACTCTAGAAGCCATTCTTTTTACCCCTCACATCATTGAAGAAGGACTGAGAAGTCTAGGAAGAAGCACAACATTGAGTACTATAATAGTGTGCATAACCCTACAGCTAATTGGTACTGTTATTCAATTAGCTTACTGGATGTAAGCCAACATTTTTGACAAAGAGCAAGGACTATACTCAACCATAGCATGTTAGGTGGGAAATACTGTGGACAAACAAGAGTTTAAAGACTGAAGGGGAAGCATCACAATTTATTAAATAAATTAACTCAAGGTTGCAAAGCATCATGACCAAGAAATGTAGAGTGCCAACAATGGAAATTCAGCACATACAAGCATATTTGAAATAAGGTTAAAATGAATCTTTTTTCCACTTTACATAACAATTCTGTTAACTCACAACAAGTAATATTAATAGTAGCTTCCATATGGAATTAATTTGTCCCTTTTTTGTTGTTAATTACTGCCTGATTAAGAAACAAACATGGGATTCTACTGATATCAACAGGCAGAGTTGCTGCAGTTAATTTATTCAAAATGAGTTATTGTGGGCTCTGATGTGAATAGACAAATTGTAGGTGCATTTATGAATTTGGATGTCTGCTTATATAAGTACATAAGGTGTACTTATGTACACCTACATAAGGTGTACTTATATAAGGTATATAAGGTGGTTAAAAGCAGATCACTGAAGAGAAATTTACGTTCTATACCAGGTCCATAATTTACTAGCTTACTAGCTTTGTTATCTTGGGTATAGTCTGTGTATATCTGTAAGGTGAAGAAAGATAATTAGTAACATCATAGTTGTTAGAAAGATTAGATGAGTTAATACATATGAAACACTTGGCACATGCCAAGTACTCTTGAGTATTTGAATAAATGCTCTACAAATGTCATCTATTTTTTGCTTATGCATGACCTTTTTGAAAGTCAGCTGCACATAACACTATTGAAACTCAAGATGTGGAAGAATTTTTATCAGATATATACCAAAATATACCTTATTAAGTTTATTAAGGTGCAAAAATTAAATATCACATTTGTTTTTAGGACTGAACCTCAGGGTGTAAACTGTGAATGATAGTATTTTTAGATTTAGAATGTGACATTTTGGTGTTGTTAATATATGTAGTACTTTAAAATAATACTCGATAACCTTCATGTAGTTAGCTTCCTTTAGATTTATTTGCAAAATATATGTTTGATTTATTGTATAAATATGTTGGGTCTCATTTAGCTTAGTTGTGACCAATTAAGGAAAGATTTAAATATGTGGAACACCTCTATAACTTTATCATACCTTTTGCCTCCGGAGAAAAACAAGAATAAGGCATCTTGAATTTCTTCATTGGATAATTTAAAACCAATTTATAATGTTACAGATATTATTTATAACATCTTAGTTCAGTCAGCATCAATTAAATTTATAAACACACTAGTCATATGTTCCCTTTCAAAGCTGCTACTATTCAAAACAAACATCCAAATCAACGAAATAGCATGAATATTTATGACCACAAATCTCCTATTTACTCTTTGGTTTGAGCTTAAAAAAAAAAACACTCATTTGAAATTCTTTGTTCTAGCCTACTGAAATAGACTATAGTATAATAGCTTACACATAGCAAGTTTTTGCTGTATTCCCAGACTATTCTAGACAGCGGTAAATTTTGGTTCTAATGAGCAAAAGACTAGAGTAGTTGCAGTTTTAAGATAATACAGCAATCTCAGGAAGAAAGTGCAGAAAGTATGAAAATTTAAGAATCTACTTCTGCAGACCAGTGTTCTTTGTGCACCATGTTAATGAACTAAAAACTTTGTATAGTTTTCTATCACCATTACTAGAAAGAAGGACTTGGGGAGGGAGGCACGGTCCACATGATGTTTCTCTGATGCCTATGAACCGATAAAACTGTTTTCATGTCTGTATGAAATAAGCAACACAGGAAAGTAATTACGACCTTAGAGCATAATCCAGTAGCCAAGACAGCCTAGAAGAGACATTTCTCAAGAAGATGTGGTATATATACGCACAATGGAATACTACTGAGGGATCAAAAAAGATAAATTCATGCCATTTGCAGCAACATACATGAACCTAGAAGAGATCATGCTCACAAAATAAATCAGAAGAAAAAAGATGAAGCCAGGTGGTTTCACTTATATAAGAAATACACAGAAACCAAAATGTGGTGGGGCGGGAGGTGAGACAAGATTTGTTAGCTGACCATAGATCGGAGGCAAACAACTGGAAGGGGGAGAGGTTGGGGTTAAGATTGGATATTGTAAGTTTTGGAAGAGAAAGGGGACAGGTACTTTGATGGGAGAATTACAGGGACTACAGGGGCGGGGGGAAATCAAATAACACACCAAAATTAACAAAGATGTAAGAAAATAAATAAAACATGAAAAAAAAAAAGCCTCATTAACCTATGGATGAAAAAGAGAGGCGTTTTGCTGAATCCTGCTACCTTCCCAGCGCCGCCCGCCCCAAGCAGGGGCGGAGCATCTATCCCCTGCAATAAACCGCGAGACGCCGGAGGCGGGGCTGCTGGAGCGGCGGGGCTGCGGAGCGCAGGGTCGGGGTTCCTTCCCCCGCGCCTGGGCCCGCGCAGCCGCATTGGACAGCTACGCGGCCTAGCAACGGTGCTAGGAGAGCTGATCCGTCACCGGTGCTGAGCAGGATGAGGCCCGGAGAAGAGCGGCCTGTGGAGGGGGGAACTTGCGCGGAGGTCTCCGAGCTGGAGCTGCTGAAGCTGCGCGCCAGGGAGCGCATAGACCAGGCGGCCGAGCGCCTGGGGGCCCTGAGCCGCGCCATCTGGAGCGAGCCCGAGCTGGCCTACGAAGAGCACCATGCACATCGCGTGCTGACGCGCTTCTTCGAGCAGGAGCTGCCGGCCGCCTCCTGGGCCGTGCAACCGCACTACCAGCTGGCCACGGCCTTCCGCGCCGAGTGGGAGCCGCCAGGGGGCCGCGCGGCGCCGCGCCCGCTGCAGCTGGGCTTCCTTTGCGAGTATGACGCGCTGCCTGGCATCGGGCACGCCTGCGGTCACAACCTGATCGCCGAGGTCGGGGCGGCGGCCGCTCTGGGTGTGAAGGGGGCCCTGGAGGGGCTCCCCCGGCCACCGCCGGTGAAGGTGAGGCGGGGCCCGGGAGCGGGTCTCCCATGCCTGCGCTGGCCGGGACCGATCCGGAATGGCCGGACCCAGTGCTTTCCACGCCAGGGCAGAAGTCGGGGGTGGCACTCAACAGCTGCTCTCGCTTTTGCTGAAAGCAGGACTCCTGAATTAAAGTTCACAACTTTCGAGACTAACAACGTTTTGCATATATCTGTCCTTTGTTTCATCATCTGTTGTTGTGAACAACCGATTGAACCCTCCTTAGGAAAGAACTTTGGTTAGTGCTTATTTTTGTTAAAATAGGCAACTGCAAATTGCAGATGAAGTGGTGCAAAATCAGGAGGAAGTAATTAATCTAGGGAACTCGATAGCCCCAGTTTTATGAGGCTGCAAATAAGCTTTTGCTTGTGGTAGTCATGGTGCTGTTGTGATTCGAATCGTTGGCATTTGGGTAGGAAGCTTTCAGTCCAAACCTCTAGAAATACACAAATCATGGGGGATTGAATAAACATGCAATACACAGTTCTGTTGATTGTTAAGTTTTTCAGTCTTAATTTTTAAGATTTTAAGAAACACTTCGATTTTTTGAACGGGTAAATGTCGTTTATGTCTGTCACAGGGCAAATCTAATCTTTTGTTACTCTGTTTTTCCAGATGGTATATTCTTCATTCTGTGAGCTAAGGTTCAATCATCACCATTCAGGTTAAGGGGAACACTAATGTTTTATTTTAATGATCTTTATAAAGCTCAGTTTTCCACTGTCAGTAACCTTTCTCTTTTATCCTAACAATTCCATTTTTTGTGGCTTTTTCTTTTTAGCTGCCTTCTATTTCCTGTCTTTGGGGGCTTGTTTTTGCACCTGATTAGGTGTTTTGTTTGGGATGGGGAGGGCAGTCCTTTGCCATTGCATGACACATTGGGCCAGGTTTTAGTTTTAACTAGGTTTATACTGTAAAGAGCTTAGAGGTGTTAGCAAGAAGTCATCAAATTCAATGAGTCAAGGCCAAGAATAAGGGCAGTTAAGGGTGCTTGTGACTTCTAAAAAAAGCAAAAAATGTACACATTTCTAATTTTGAAGTGGCAGTGCTCCGTTTTAGCAAGTTTATCTGTCTTACCTGAAAATGGAATTTATGATTCCTTTTGCAAGCTAAGACTTTTACAGCTTGCTCAGTGTGTTCTTATACATGACCATGAAAGTGTATGAGTTGTTTATAAATAATTTATCTTTGCTTTTAAAAAATTATTTGAAGAACTTTAAATATCAAAGTAAAATGTTTATTCTGTAAAGTTTTCTTTTGTTTAATTAGGTGTTTGGTGACCAATAAATCTGCCTGGTTGAACTGGTGGAATCGAATTAGTAAGTTTATGTAATAGTTGGCCATTTCTAACATTGGACTTACTTAATGCCCTTTGTAAAGGATTAATTAGTTTAGATCTTTTAATGAGGTGTCTTAGTAAGGAATCAGAGTTCAGGTTTGAAGGTCAGGACAAGTAATCTCAGCTCTGTCTGAAGACTTGTTCTGTGCTCTAGGTCAACGTACTTCGATCTCTGTCTCAAAAACACCCTCCCTAAGAAGATGACATAGGTCACTTGTTCGCCTACCTCACAGGGTTGTTGTGAGGATAACTTGTAGGTAACTGGAGAATTCCTTACCAGAAAAGTGTTTATGAATAGTTACAGACATACTAAAAGGTTTATTCAAGAAGAAGCTTTGAGAAATAAATCCTAAAAATTTTTGAGGGTCTTAATGTATGATATTTAATTTTTTCATCATTGCCACTAGTTAGATAAAATTGAATTATGAAATTAGAAAAGTTTCCTATAGTGGTGTTAAGCACTCTTGCACTGAGTTATGGGTATAACACTGTAAATAAAAACCTATCATTAATTTAGCACCATGCATAAAAGCCCTTTGAATATTTAGGAATTAGAACAAACCTTTTCTCCATAGTTTAAGGACTCTAACGTAGATTGTAAATATATATGCAAAAGGACCTGTTTGATTTTTTTCCTACAGGATTTTTTGTTGTTGTTTTGCTCTGACACAAGTATTTCCTTCTAGGTAATTGTCCTAGGAACCCCTGCAGAAGAAGATGGTGGTGGCAAAATTGATTTAATTGAAGCAGGGGCTTTTAAAAACCTTGATGTTGTTTTTATGGCCCATCCATCTCAAGAGAATGCTGCTTATCTACCTGATGTGGCAGAACATGAGTAAGTAATCAAGTTGAGATAAACCTCCTAATATAGACAAATATACAAGACAGAGAGTTGCCTTTGCAATAAAATAATTTTTCAGTAGCCAGACAGAAAAGGAAAAATACCAGATGGTTTCACTCATAGCAGGAGTATAATGGACCAGGTGAGAAAATAATAATAATAATGAACAGCTATATACCAGAGATATTTTATGGGGGTGGGATGGGGAATGGGATCAAAAACAGTGGGAGGAGGGAAGTGCACTGGACTATGGTGATGGCACATGGTGATTTGGTGATGGAACGCCCACAGGGATTACAACTGAGATGAAAAAATGCACAAAATGATGTAAAAACAAACTTATATAATTTAAAAAAAAAAGTTTTCAAGAGACAGTTTTATTAGTCCTGGGAAGAAAACATACTACTCTATTTATTTTACTTTGCATTCTTAGCAAAGGAATGTGTTCCAGAGAGAAAATTCAGAAAACTGAATAATGGAATTTGCTAATCTATGCTTTTCTGATTTGCCTGTTGCTGAAACTTTTTTATTTATCTTTCTCTGTTTTGGAGAGTTCTTTTATTTTTGGTACCTAGGAGCATATATCATAGAGGTGATTTGGATATTTTACACCAGAAATTTCAACCTAATCACAGAGAGCCAGCTGCTTCAGGAAAACGACATGTTCTCCTCTGCAGTAGCTAGAGCGTAATAGCAGGACCATTCAGCAGTGCTTCTATATTGTACTCAGTTACATCTCTCAGCATCCTACCAGGCCTTGTTTTCTGATGGTGATAATTTTAACTGTTCTGGTATCTTCCTTTTTATCTTCTTTAATTGATAGTGATTTTTGATTTCAGGGTTGGTACATACCAGTACATTTCTAGAAAACCTTAAAAAATAGACATCTCTGCCAATACCTCTGGCTCAAGGGGGTCTGCAGATGAAGGTAGACTTCCCAGTCCATAATCCTTGAACTCTGGGTTAGGGTTCAACTCTACCTGGCCTTGGTCCTGAAATTAACTCATTTGGCCTTAAGTCTTTTCTTAGATTTTTCATTGCCCATATTTTAAGATGGAGAAGAGAATAGGAATAAATTTTAACTTAAAAAAAATTACATTTCTGGCCCTCCCTGGTGGCACAAGGAGGTGCAGCGGGTTAGGACTCAGCTCAGCAGGCTGGCCGCAGCCGCTTCAGTATGAGTTCAATCCCCAGCCTCGGAGGTGACTCACCTGGTACGGCAGACCTCTCCTAACCTGCTCACTGCTCCCATCAGCAGTGTATTTTGTCGATCTTGTTCTGCTCTCTGTTCTGCCTCTGGTGAATCCTCTTGCTGCCCCTGCACTTCTGGTTTGCACCCCAGTTCTGTATGAATAAATAAATTAATCTTTAAAACAAAATTACATTTCTGTTTTGTCCTAAAAATCTCTGACAATGAGTAGGATAAATTAGGACATCTCTATTGATCACCCTTCTTACAGCTAGTCCCTTCTCCAGTTTAAAAAACAAACACAGCAGATCAATTGTTTAGTGAAAACACTATAATGTGATTCCAGTAGTCCATTGATATTGCATAATTGCATATATTAAGATGGCATAATTTGAAAATTTAAGGATATGACTGCCTTCAGTTAAGCACAATTTAAAATATAAGCTGTGACTTGTACAATAAAAATGCTGAGAGTTTTGTTTTTAGTGACATTAAAATGAAGTAAAGGAACTTCCATTGGAAAGGGGTATTTTAAAATCACTTAAAGTTTGCTAATGGAATGGGAGAGAAAAACTCACTTATTTTACTATTTCACTAACTTTTATACCATCATTGCACTTTTTTATAATTCTTTGTTTCAATTTATTAAAACTTTCTTTTTAATATATCCTTAAGGTCCCATGGTTATAATTAACATAATATTTTGACTCAGTTCAATAACAACCAATTGTATAAAAAGATAAACATTTCTATGCTTTACTAAAAAAATTATGGACCCATGTAATAGAATTGTCAAACCAATAAAGAAGCTATAATTGGCTAAAATATGAATAGTTATTCAAATTTCCAACCCATAAGTGCCCCATCTACATAGTTTAGTTGGTTGCAATGGTGATGTGAATATTAAATCATAAAGTGATTTATATTTTAATTGGAAGGACTCATTGTAAAGTGATCCGATTATATAGTCAACTGCATAAACCATATAAAAACACGGGCCTACTATATACACATATATACGTACATGTACAAATTAAATTTTGAAGAACTTTTTCCCTCTGCAATTTTGTGCTCATTATATTGTTCTGGCTCATGCTTTTTCAAATGAAAGATTATCTCTTCAAAATATTTTGGCAATTTCATAATATTAGCTTGAATTAATGTGTACATATTTATTTTGTACAGAAGATCAATTGAGCATAATTTTCTTTTAGAAAGCCTTTTTTTGTTACTGTGATACATAATAGTGAATTATCTCTCTCTCATAAATTTCCGTATTAGGCCTACAAATGATTTGCAAATAAAAATTCCAGCAGTATGAATTAATGTTGAATAATAACTGGACAATTTTGATTACTTGGGTTTTCTTACTTTAATGATACTGGTAAAATAATTCCAAATGGTGTTTCATTTCCAAGTGTGACTGTGAAATACTTCGGAAAAGCATCTCACGCTGCTGCCTACCCCTGGGAAGGAGTAAATGCATTAGATGCTGCGGTTCTTGCCTACAACAATATGTCTGCATTAAGGCAGCAAATGAAACCAACCTGGAGAGTTCATGGTAGGAATGTCAAATATCATATTTTTGGTGTTCATTAATTATTTAATATTTCATTTTTTAGAAACATTTCATCTTATTTCATATGATAGTCTAAAAATTAAACATTTTCTGAAATTCATGTGCTGGGATATTTAGATGTTTGTTTATATGGGAAAAAGACAAGATTATTTTACTAATTGGAATGGCCATTTTGCGTATTGAAATTATGATTTGATATAAGGATTTATGTTCTTTCTGTGGGTATTTGAAAGTTGGCACTTGATATTCCAGTCTCATGATCTTTCAATAGTAACAAAGTTTTATCATTGCCTCAACTAAAAAAGTGTCATGATGTTGATCCTACTATCTTTTTTGTTATAAAGATAGTAATAAAGTATAATTTTTTAACAATATGGAGGTTTTTGTAGTTTATTTCCTTATAATCTGGGAATTTTTTTTTAAAGATTTATTTATTTAAACATACAGATTGAGGTACAGGCCAGAGGTGCAGGGGCAGTGTGGAGTCACCAGAAATAGTGGGGAGCAGCACAGGCAGATGGATGAAGTATACTGCTGAGGGAGCAGCGGGTGGCCAGGAGAGGTCTACAGCGCCATGTGGGTCACCTCCAGGAACTCATGCTAAAGTGGCTGCAGCCAGCTAGCAGTGTTGTGTCCTATCCCGTTGTGCCACCAGGGAGGGCCTAAATTACTTTTTTTAATGTACGCATTGGCTGAGAAGATTTATGGTTATGTTTAAACTTGAAAAAATTGGCCTCCAAGCTCAATTACAGTAATTTGACTCTTTTTATAGGTATAATTAAAAATGGTGGTGTAAAACCCAATATCATTCCCTCTTACTCTGAATTAATCTATTACTTCCGTGCACCGTCAATGAAAGAACTTCCAGTTTTGACCAAAAAAGCAGAAGATTGCTTCAGAGCTGCAGCTTTGGCTACAGGATGCACAGTAAGAACTTTTAAGAGTCTATCTCAGTCAGAGGTATATGTGTAGATTAGGTTGTTTATATTTAGATTAAAACCTAATTTGGCTCTTTTTAATTGTTGATATATCCATTATGTAAAATTAATTGATTAAAGAGTTTATGTGAAAGTCTTTAATATTTATTTTACTCTATTCCTACCTAAGTTAGACCTCAATTATCTCTTTTTACACAGAAGTTAGAATAACTGACAACTACAGAGCTATAATCTGTCTTTTGTTAGTCATGTTCTTCCTTTTTGGTAGTTATGCTTTTAGAATTGTTCTGTATATTTTCTATAAAGGGAACTGTATGGCAAAATCAGCAAGAGCTATTTTATGGTGAAATTAAAGATGTAAATATAGTTTGCTCTAAAGAAAGTTAGAATAGAAATTAGTCAGGAATTAGTGATTTTGAACCATAAAGTCAGTAATATCAGGGTCCTCCCTGGTGGCACAATGGGTTAGGACACAACACTGCAAGCTGGCCGCAGCAGCTTCAGTGCGAGTTCTATCCCCGCCGTGGAGGTGACCCACATGACGAGGCAGACCTCTCCTAACCTGCCCACTACTCCCCTCAGCAGTGTACTTTGTTGATCTGCCTGTTCTGCTCCCCACTCTGTCTCTGGTAAAGCCTCTCACTGCCCCTGCACCTCTGGCTTGTACCCTAGTTCTGTCTGCATAACTAAATAAATTTAATAAAAGAAAGAAAGAAAATAAGGTAGAAATCTTTAAAAAAAAAAAAAAGTAACATTAATGTACACGCATGAAGAGTATACAATGGGATGAGATGTCTCAGAATTAATGTGAATCTTGCCCTGGAAAGAGCATATAATTTAGTTGGAGAAATAGGATCTGGGCCTCCATTTTCTCACTTGAAAAATGGAGATTTGGCAGTCTGTCTTAGGGTTCTTATGAGAATGAGATAATGTTTGCAAAGAGTTAGGACCAAAAGCATATATACTTTATCCTGCCCTCAGTTTGATGGGGAGGATATATGATTTATATTAGCAGAGTCTCAAAGTAACAATGATTTTCAGGCTATATCTGGTAAGTGTCCAAAAAGTAAAAAAATAATGCGTGCTTATTTAATATTTAAATTTTTTAAAGACTTATTCATTTATGCATACAGAACTGGGATACAGGCAGAGGTGTGGAGGGTGAAAGGATTCACCTGAGACAGAGTGGGGAGCAGAACAGGCAGATCTACGAAGTCCACTGCTGAGGGGAGCAGAGGGTGAAACAGGAGAGGTCTGCAGCGCCATGTGGGTCACCTCTGGGGCCAGGTTTTGAACCAGCACTGAAGCGGCTGCCACTAGCTTGCAGTGCTGCACTTTAACCCATTGTGCCACCAGGGATGGCCCTAAGTATTTAGATTTTTATAGAATAAATATATTAGCTAATATTTCAAAGGTTCATTGTTATTGGATTTAAATCTATAATTTAAATAGTCTTTTAATAAGTTTTAAAATTTTGATTCTTTTATAATATTAGGAGTAGGCTGTTACTGTTTGTAACTAATGTTGCCAAGAATAGAAGTAATGTCCTCTCTGCCATCTTATACTGACATTTTTTAATGTTATCTTTAGTTTGAGATAAGGTAAAGGTTTGAGAGAATTTCCATTCTGAATTTCCATTCAGAATAGAAAATGTAACCTTTTAAATTTCCCATGCTAGTTTGAAAGTTAGTAATGACTTTGAATTTTTTATTTCATAATTTGTTTTACAATTTTTAATTAGGTAGAAATTAAAGGTGGAGCACATGATTATTACAATGTTCTTCCCAATAAGAGCCTCTGGAAAGCTTATATGGAAAATGGAAAAAAACTGGGAATAGAATTCATCTCAGAAGATGCAATGTTGAATGGCCCTTCAGGTAATTAAGTTCTTTGATTTATGTGGCGTTATTTGAAGAAGAGAAAAACCATCTTTAGTTAGTGATTTTGTTTAATGAGTTTAGAGGTAGGGAGGTACTACTGAGGTTTTTAATGATATTTCTCACAAACTTAATAGGGGAGAGATAATAATGGGGTAAAAAAATAACGAGATTGGAAAAATTACAAAATTAGAAGCTAATGTCTAAATTTAACAGTTTAGAATTGGGAAGGAATATTTCATAGCACAGTAGCAAGATTTGGCCTACTGTGATATTTGGGGAGGTGAGGGTAAATTTTCACTTATGCTCTTGAATGTGAAGACAGTTTGCATGATACAATATAACTTTTTTTTTAAGATTTTTATTTATTTATTCATACAGAACTGGGGTACAGGCCAGAGATGCGGAGGGTGAAAGGATTCACCAGAGACAGAGTGGGGAGCAGAACAGGCAGATCGACAAAGTACACTGCTGAGGGGAGCAGCGGGCGGGTCAGGAGAGGTCTGCCACGCCATGTGGTCACCTCCGGAGCAGGCGGGGATCGAACTCATGCGGAAGTGGCTTTAGCTTCTTAGTGCTGTGCTTTAACCCGCTGCGCCACCAGGGAGGGCCGATACAATATAACTTTTAAACAAACTAAACTTTTAAGTGAATGCAGAGTGTCAAATGAGCAGATTTATCTTTAGAAATCGCCCATAAACATTTTTCTTTATAGTCTAAATATTTCTATTATCTAAATTTGCTTAGTTCTAGTCTTTGGATAAGCTATTTAAGTAGGAAACAGACTTTTAATTCATTTTCAGTTACCACATGTACTCAGGTCAAGATCACTAAGTACATATTGATAGCATATGGGGCATTTTCAGTTTCTGAGGAGTAACACAACTATTAAGTTTATTGGTAGTTATTATAGATTTTTCCCTTTCAAAACATTACTACTAAGATGTTTGCATGTTGGAGTTGTATCTCCTAAAGTATAGTAATAGATGTTAATGAAGTAGACTCAAAAGAAGGCAGTAGTGAGGAATGGGGTATTGATGTCATTCATTGAGATAAGGAGTTCAAGAGAGAGAGCACAGGGGTATGGTGGGTTGGCATAAATTTATTATAAATTATTGAGGTGCTTATAGGATCTAAGTGGAGCTCTCCAGTAGCTTGTTGAACCTGGAACCTCCAAAATGTACCTAGGTTGGAAATTTTGGAGTTGGCAATATACAAAATAATTGGATGATGTGGTTGCCTAAGTACACAGATGGAGAAGCCCAAAGGTGAAAGCCTGGTGGTCAGGTGACGGAAACAGTGTTGGAAGATGAGTAAACCATAGACAATGAATAGAACCTGGAATCACGAAAGCCAAAGTAGAGAATTTCTGGAAGGGAAGGAGTAGTAAATCATGCCAGGTGCTTCATATTGTCTAGTGTCTATTGGACTAACAATTAAAAATAAATATATTGTTTCACCTTTCCAAGGGTCTACTGATTTTGGAAATGTTACTTTTGTGGTCCCTGGGATTCATCCATATTTTTACATTGGGTCAAGCGCCCTGAATCATACGGAACAGTATACTGTAGCTGCAGGTAAGTGTATTAGAAGTGAATGTTTGGGTACATGCTCTCTTTTTTGTAGTAGTAGCTTCCTTTTTAACTGGTGTAGTCTATTACTATTTCATTATGTAATATCACCTCAGAAATATATTGCTGGTAGTTGGAGAAACAATTTAGCTAAGAGCTCATTTGAAAATTTGTTAAATATAGATATTTAACTTGTTTTCTTTTCCTTTTAGGATCACAAGAAGCTCAGTTCTACACTTTGCGTACAGCCAAAGCTCTGGCAATGACTGCACTGGATGTTATTTTTAAACCAGAGCTGCTAGAAAGAATCAGAGAGGATTTTAAATTGAAACTTCAAGAAGAAGAGCTTTTACAGACAGTAAAATAAAAGGAAGATTTAGGAGATACAATGAATCATTAATCAGTGAATTTTTTTTCTTTAACCTTTTTTAATGAGGAAGGAGGGCTTGCTTGTTTTTCAGTCTTAAAAGGAGTCAAATTCCTCTAACCTACAAAATGAGGATGTAATGCGTAGAAAATTCATTACCTCATACATCTAAAATGAAAATATATATTTGATGGAATTATGGCTTTTCAGGAGCTGGCATGTGGTGGCATTTCTTGACCTGGGCAAAACATAGCTTATGAATAATAATATTTTATAAATTCATATAAATTCATATCCAAGGTGGTCCATACCTTATTTTCAGAATTGACTCATGAAAGATTTTAGATTGTTTCTTTTGGTATTGGGCGGTAAAATTTTTCTATAAAGTAGTTTTAAAATTCAAATTCTAAATTTAAGAAAAGTTCATTCTATATATCTAACTTATCTGTTTTGGCTTTGAGAAGCTCTCCCTTTACAATAAAGCAGATTTTTAATCAAAAATGGTGTGGGAGACAACTGGAACTCAGGTTCAAAGAATAAGCTTTAATTTTACCATTTGAAGGAAAATGTTTTTTTTTTTAATTGTTTCTGAAAAGTGGCATTAAAGTACTATTTCTAACTTGATTATTACTATACTAGGAAAGATTATAAATATATGTGTTGGGCTTCCCTAGTAAGGTGTTTGCTTGCTAGCCCAGTGTGTTCTAGAAGGGCTTTCTGGGAAAGGAACAGTTTCTGTGTACCAGGCTCTGCTTATCTTAAATCTTTTTCATCATGTAAGTGATCCCATCTACCTAGTGGCCTTTTTCAGGCTTCTCAGATGCCATTCTGTCCAGCCTGACTGGAGAGTACTGTAGTTTACTGAGTTCAGGAGGCAGAATGTTAAGCACCTTTAAGGATCATGGTAGCCCAATGTTAATTGGAAAGTATAAGTTTTTCTTGATACTTTTAGTGTGAATTTCATGAGCATGGTAAGTCTGAGAAAAGTATCCAATAAAACAAATAGTTTTAGCTGTGAATAAAATAAAACTCCTATATATTCATTTAAAGGGATTCCCAGTTTGGATCGAAGCATACCAAAAATTAAAGAGAAAAGAGAGAATAATCAGCATTTGGAGTCTGCTATTAGCCAGTTACCTGTGCCCTCTGAGCCTTCAGCTCCCTCAATTATAAAAATTAGATCACTTATCTTAACAGTCCTTTGAACTTCTAACTCCTATTTGATCTAAAGTTACTTCAAGTTTAAGGAAAGGGAGTACTTACTTTAGGGGAGATTTAGCAGAGAATTGATTTTCTGTCCTATCAGGGGTTTGGAACCTACAACTTAATTTGATAAGGCCTTGGATATTATATGCCTAGTGTTCTAAAAATGAGTCTTAATAATTTAAAGGAGCTGGTGTGTGTGTGTGTGTGTTATTGGGTAGTCCTAATTTTTTGGATTAAATTCCCAAAGTATTTTGGAGGTAAAGGAAGCACTAAATTATAGACAGACAGTGTCACTTACATAGATAAGTAAAGGTTCTGTTAAACTCTTTATACTTAGAGATGAATGTTTTAAAATTGAACTGTTAAAAAAAGTTTTTATCTTTTTTAAAAACCATGCCAGTAAGTTTATTTTCCAGCATTAGTTTGAATGGTGACATTTTATTATCATTTAGATTCAATGACTTTATACTTCTTTATTAATATCTACCTATAAATGTTAAGTTATTCCTCCACTCTTTGAAGCCATTGTCCTTTCAAAAGGTTTAATTTGCTACAAGTACTCCAAAATCTAATCTTTTGGGGGGAAAAAATTATGATTCTTAGAATACTGAATTAATTTACCTAAACCAGAGGTACTTGTGAACTTCCTTGAGTTATATCTGTTTATGGAGAATATACTTATTACCTGCCTTTTACAATCATTTTTTGCTCACACCTTGCACTGGAAGCCTTTTCCATCAAATATCAGCTTTTAACTATATTAAATTAATAGACTTTAAAAGGTATATACCAAATTAATGGTTTAAATTTAATTGCAGATTGAAAGTTTTGTTTCTTTTTAAGTTTACTTTTTGTTGATTTAGTAGCAGACTTGAATATGGGGCCTATATAAAATAGTTATGTGGTACTATTAATTTCAAGTTACAATATACCATGTAAGATTGAATATAGCTAATATTTAGCTTTCCTCTTAAAAATTTCAGACTGCTTTTCATTTTTAACAAACTATAAATTACTCAGGAAATCCTTCCCTTTTACTTACTTGCCTTTCTGTAGCACTTATGAAATAGAGCATTTACGATCTAAATGAGAACATTTTCATGGATACTTTTATAAACAAAGTGTTTTCCCAAAATTTTCCAAAAGACCTTATTTATTCATGTATTGAATTGGTATTTTAACTTTTATAATTTCAACAGATGAATTCTGTGAACATTTGTTGAAGAGTGCCAACTCTTAAGCATTGGGGGTAAGAGAATACGACATGGTCTTTGCCCCAAAAAGCTTGCGGTTGGTGGTAAATTTTCACAAAATCTGCTTCATCTGAGCAACACTGGGATTGAAGAACATCCCAAAACTACTCTCTTGGGAAGTTTTGAGGATTGTTTCTAAAATACATCAGTCTGGACATAGGATGGAAAACTGACATGAAAGTCTGTGGTACAAGAATGACTGTCTAACTTTGTAATACATTCTTTAAAAAAAACTTGCTGCTAATGTTGTGTTTTATACATTTATTACTTTTTACCTAAGTATCTCTTTAGTCTTATGGAAAATATCCTTAGTACTTCTCTTCAAACTATTAAAGTGAAATTTCATTGTAAAAGAAATCAATTATCTGCTAACTAGCAACTTTTTATAAAGCTGTAAGCCAGGATAAACTTTTTTATATATATTTTAGCAAGCATTTTGTAATGTAATTATAGTTGAATATGGTGTATTTTAGTATATATGAAGTTAATATTTTCAAGTAAGCAATCATACTACCATCAGATTATAGTATTGTAATATTTTAACATTAAAATATATGAAAAAAATCTAAAAGATTCATAAATGGTTGTCTAAACATAATCACTTTTTGGTCTTTTAAATACACGTATGGAAGTAAAATGAAAATATACAGATAAAACACTATTACCCCAATTTACTGAGATGTATTATTCTCTTATTAATTCATCAGTATTATAAATGTTTGTTTGCTTTTAATATATTAATGATATTATTGATATGAGAATTTTTAAAGATGACATACTTTTATTTAAAAATGAATGTTTTGCTATTATCAGAAGCTGAGTGCAAATTATATATAGATACATAATTACTGTACTAAACTTTCCTTAAAAATATTTTTAACTTTACCACAAAGTAATGTAGTCACTCAGTGCACTAGGATAGGTTTTTAGATTCTTATAAGTTTCCAAAGAATACATGCCTCGCATGAGAAAAAATAGAAGTGTTGATGCTTCTTTGTTTCAACTGACTTTAAAATGGAGTTCGAATAAGTTTTTTTACCCAGTGATTAAAAGGTAGAACTAGCTTTGGTTAGCAAGGCAAACCAATCACTTAAAAATATAACCTAGAAGTAGAAAAGATAAAATCAGAGTTTTAAATAAACAAGAACTTTGTTTAGGTCAAAAGCCATTGCTCCACTTGGTGAATAATACATTATATTGGAGAGTTCGAATTTTAATTTATTTGTGTCACTAGTGACTGGCACAGTATTTTGTTTAGCACAAGAGAATGGAGTGTGGTTCAAACCTTAATATTTTCCTACTTGGGTTAACTTATTCAACGATTACCAAACCTAAACCCAATCATTGCTATTGCCTGTTAAGATCCAGGACTAGCCAGTAGCCTCATGCCTTAGTCATCTGTCCTGACACACTTTACCAGTAAATCACTTATTGTGGTATAGGAGAAACTTAAGACTGATATAAACCTATGTACTTGACTCTTAAGAGTCCAAGTGTGCTACTGCTTAATAGATGCTTTAAACTACCCAATGTCCAGTGTCCCTTAATGCCCAAAGCCCCCTTGATCTCTGAAAGTGGTGAGGGGTCCTAAGGACTAGCCAGCTATAATATTTCTTCAGAGGTTCAGCAGTTCCTACCAATTTGCTATTACTTCCACAGCAACTCTGGAAGATTTATTCATGCACTCCAAGTCAAAAAACCACTGAGGTAGGTGAGTTGTGTATTTTTCCAGAGACATGCTTGTGAAAAAAAAGTATATGAGAAGAGGTATAGTAGAAGACCCTGGGTAGAAATAGATTGCAATGGTTACTTTCATTTTTATCTCCACTCAGATTTTAATCCATGTTACTCAGCTTCTGGTGATGCCATTACCCCACTTATCCTCTGTTTTGTTAGTCTGGCCAAGTGTGGGCTCTTGTTACATTATCCCTGGGATTTTATATTCTATTTTCATCATTTAACGTTGTAACATAAGTATTTTCTAGGCCATTAACTATTCATGGGCTCTCCCCAGTGGTGCAGCAGGTTGGATCACTGCACTGCCAAGCTAACCCAAGCGGAGGCTACTTCAGTGCGAGTTCCATCCCCACCCTGAGCTAACCCACATGGCCCATATGGCGTGGCAGCCCTCTCCTGTCTTCCCAGCTGCTCCCCTCAGCACTGTACTTCAGTCCATCTGCCTATTCTGTTCCCCACTATCTCTGGTGAATCCTCTCACCGCCCCTGCACCGCTGGCCTGCACCCCAGTTCTGTATGCATAAATAAATCTTAAAAAAAAAAAAACTATTCAGAATTGTTGTATCTAATTGCAGGTCTCATTTATGTATATACTGTAATTTATTTAAGCATTCCCTTGGTTTTTTCATTTACATTATTTACAATCGTTTGTTATTATCAAGAAAGGGCTGGTGAAGATTTTTACACAAAGATTTTTATCTGTATTTCAAAATATTTTCTTAGGTCTTTTCCCAAAAAGAAAATGTCTATTATCTATTTAAATTTAAAAAAAAATTATATTCAAGTTTCTTTGAAGAAGGGTGGTGTGACTTATTCTCAGGAGTGAATATGGGAGTACATATTCCACCCCCTCTTTGCCAACATTTCATCCTACCTACCGTCTGCCAAGCTTCTGACGCAACCTCTCTCCCCCACTTCACTCCGTCCCCTCTGGTTGTCCCCTCTCCACGGTCCTCCCCACTAGGGTCTCTATTCTCTGCTTTTGACACATCACGCAACAACGCCAGACCAGACCCCGCCCCCACCCCTCCAGCCCCACCCAGTGAGTGCCAGCCGAGGGCCCTTCTCGGCGCTTTGACCCTTACGCGCTTTAGCTGGCTTGCTCTCACTGGCCACCGGTGGCGCCCTGTCGTCTTCTGCACTTTGACCCTCAAGGCACTTGCACTGCCCCAGGTCCTCAGTCGCTTCATGGCGTTTCTCACTACAGACCCTTCCTTAACTCGTCTACATTCGGCAGCTTTCCCGTTCTCTCCCGCCCCTTTCGCAGCCCCTTTCGCGCGCAATACTGGGCTCTTGGCGCATCCTCCCGGCCCTTGACCAGGGCCCTAGCCCACCGACATTGCACTTCATCCTGCGTCTTCCCTACTTACCCTCTGCCACTCCCTCCCTTCCTCCGCCCTGGAGCCTCACCTCCCGCAGTAGTTGCGGTCGCCTATTGCGTTGCGTCATCACCAAGCGCCTTCCCGAGGTCCTTGCGCTACTGAGAACTGTTTTCCATATATTGAGGAATGAATGGATTAGGTATAAAGTCCTAGGACTTTAATAGCTTTAGAAAATATGCCGCTATTCCTCAGGGCTTCTAGCATCAAGGTTCCTTCACATTTTCGTCCCCCTATTACAGGACACCAGATCTGTTACAGGGCACCAGATCTGTTACAGGACAGGGAGAGAGGGGCACCCTCCGAAGCCCCAAACCTGCCTGCTCTAAGTGGGTTCTGTCATCCGCCAGGTCAAGACAAAACATATAAAACTTTAATAAAAAGGGACTTTGATACAGTAAGTATACAATACAGAACATGAAGAATATAACTTCTAAATCAAACACCTGAAGTTACACCAAAAAGTCAACCCAAAAGGGATTGGCCCAAAGCAAGGCCTGAAAGCTGCCACTAGACTAAAGCACCTTCTGGCACCTTCTGGGAAGGACCAGTGGAAAAGGGTCAGAAATGGCCAGACAAATCTGAGAAGAAGAAAGCAAAATCAAAATCAATATACGCACTGCCATAGTCACCTCCCTACAGGTATCTCACCCACATCTGCCTTAACTAGTCCCGGGTCAGGAAACAAGCATGGTTTCTTCCTCACATGCTTGCTGCTCCATGTGGCTCCCTCAGGTCTCCTTCTTATTCTCCATCTTGCTTCCTTGTCTTCTCCTGCCTTCTCTTTTCTCCTTTTTCTCTGCTCAGCTCCACCCTCCTTCTGGGTGGGGCAGGGACCTGGAACGTCCCCTTTTCCTAGGGACCACCCTGTTACACTCCTAATGAGGAGACTTGAATACACATGTGACCCTTTTTTAAATGCTCTAACTAAATCTGTTCACTTTTTAAGAGACATACGCGGGTTGGATCTTTTGTATCTCCTATCATCTTTTAGATGATACTTATAATTATTCATTATGGATTTTCTCAGCTCTATCTCATCTATTTCTGAAAATTTATGGTTTTCTTCCAAATAGCTTTCACCTCTGAAAACATTTTACATTTTTTTCTTTCCTTTAAGTTGTCTTTTCAGGTCTTCTTTGAGCTATCTTTAGAGAACCTATGTGCATGATTTCTTTGCGTCTATGTCTGACTTCAACAATGTCCTTAATAATGTTTTAGAGCTGTATACCCTAAATGTCTTTGCTCTGTCTTCTTTATAAAAATTTCATCTTCAATCTATGCAATTTCACTCTTTATTGTGTCCTATTTCCAGTCCACTTCTGCTGGTCTGGGGTCACCAGCAGTCTTTTGCTCCAATCCAATTTCTTAATGAATTCTTTCATTGAATTCCACCACTATTTAACAGTCCCTCTTTTCGTTGAGGCACACATTCCCTTCTTTATTTGGTTAAAATTCTAGTCAATCTGGGCCCTCCCTGGGGGCACAGTGGGTTAAAGTGCAGCACTAAGAAGCTAAAGCCGCTTCAGCATGAGCTCAATCCCCATCCCTGGAAATGATCCACATGGCTGGGCAGACCTCTCTTGATGGGCCTCCCAACTCCCACCCCCACCCTGCTGCTCCCCTCAGCAGTGTACTTCTCAGTTGGCCTGTTCTGCTCCCCACTCTGTCTCTGGTGAATCCTCTCACCGCCCCTGCACCTCTGGCCTGTACCCCAGTTCCGTATGCATAAACAAATCTTTAAAACAAAATTCTAGTCAATCATTATCATCACCCACATACTTAACTCCTGTCCTTGCTTGCTTCATCATATTACTTCATTAAAATAAAAAAATTTGAAAATTATCAAATTTCCTGTTCATGTAATGGATAATATTTACCCCAATGACAAGTGTTGTGCTTCACTCTTTCTAAAGGAATTTGTCCATTATTCAGCAAACTTGTTTGGGGTTATAGCCTGTTTGCTCCTTTCACTAAAGATGAATAAGAAGATACTAAAATTTTAGATTGTTTCATTTTGGTTTTCCATTTTTAATTGTTTATAGTGACTTTTCAGGAAGTCATGGAATAAAAATGCTTTCTGTACTGCTATTTGTAATGGGAATTCAGTTCCACTTGTTTCCCTTTAGTTTGAAAGTTCCATTCCGTCTAAAGTCCCATTCGTTTCTACATTCAATTATCAGTTTTTGTGTTCTCTAGTAATACCCTTGATTTGGAACCACACACTCAGTAATTGAAAAAATTTTTCGTATCATTCTGAAAACTCTAAAATTGCCAAGACCATGTAGATCCTTCCTTGATACACTGGAGTGGGTCAGGATTAGCCTTGCTGGTCACACTTTCACTTCATTCCTACCTTTTTAAAAGACAGAACAAGATATAAATGTATTCACTTCAGTCAGTCTGTCCACAGTTTGTGTATTTTCCTTACTCTGTCTGCTGTAGTACTGCATTTACTTTTATAAACTTAGAAAATTGAGAACTTCATGTTTGACAATTACAAGGCTAATTCTTCTGGTGGGCAAATTACTGTTGAGAATATGTTTACTTTTTTGGAAATAGGTACTTTGGGCATTGTTAGGTGTTCTGGAGCAGATTTTAATCTTTTTTTCATTAGTAATTTCTGATTTGGTAATTTCTACATTCAGAAATTAATGCACCAATTAATTAGAAAGTAATCAAATAGTCCAAGTAAGTTAATGTTCTTTCTAGCAGAGCTCCATATATTATATAAAGTACTTTAGACATTTATTGTAACAAATTTTGTTTGTAGAAGACAAAGTTATCAAATTTCAATAAATTGAACAAATGAATTTTAACTTCTATCAAGTCATTAGCACTGAATAATACAAAAAGGTATAGTCTTCCTGTTAAGGAGGTGAGTAAATGAGACAGATCATTCACCAGGGATCTTCAAGTGATGAAAACTATGTATTTCTCTTTCTAAAGCACAGGATTGTGGTAAGTAGTTAAATTTTATATAATGTCTGTCTTTGGTCCTAATAATATTATTTGACTTATCTCTCCCAAACCCTTTCCAATCCCCATCATAGTATAGTTACAAAAGCATTCATTAAGATATAGCATTATTTATATACCAATAATAAGAAAATATTTTACCAATTAAACTAAGAAACTCCATTGTTTGTAACATGTTTGATTTTATAGTTAAAATTGGGGGGTATAAGTATATCTTACAATAAAAATGTATTGTATTTGAGATTTCATTTGGGCAATGTTTTCTGTTATGATCTTATTCCATACTATTTGTCCATCACAATTCATCCTGTGTCCTGTCCACCAACTGTTCTGAGTTTTCTTTAATTCTTAGCTTCTAAGTTGATATTGTAGTGCATTAATACTATTTAACTCTGCATCTAAGTCTCAGGTATCACCATTAGAACTCAAAAAAAAAAGTAGTGGAAACTGGAAAATGAAGGGAAATGACTGCAACCAACGTGACTACATTGTCACCCATGTTTATGGAACAAACTTTTATTTAAATAACAAATATAAAAAGCAAATTAGATAACACTCAATATAATTTTAGGACATATTTTGCCACTGTGAATGTTTTGTTGGACACTCACTTACTCAACAAATATTTATCCACTACCTATAGGAGTCAGGTATTGTTTTCAGTGATGGGGACAAAGATTCTGGCACTTAACAAACTTCTGCTAATTGATTATAGCTGTTAGGATGTATACCTCATCCAAGCATACATGATTTTGTTTTTAAAGGATCAGAATTTTGGTGCCAGACTTATTGTGTGTTTATCTGGGGTAAATAGTATCCACTTTTTCATAAATAATATGAATAGTAATTTAGAGAAAGGAGGGAAAATATTATGAATAGAGGCTGAAAAGAAAAACAAAGCATTAAGAATACAAGAAAAGGGTCTCCTTGATGATGCAGGGATTAAGGTCTCAGTGCTATCAAGCTATCACCAACCACTGTAGCACATGATCGATTACCAGACAGGGAGCTGACCCACTTGATACAGCGGATCTCTCCTGTCTTGCCCACTATTCCCTCAGCAGTGTATTTCAGCAGATCTGCCTGTTCTGCTCCCCACTCTGTCTCTGGTGAATCCTCTTACCCCTGCCCCACACCTCTAGCATACACCACAAAACATTCCCATGTTCCTCCCAAAGCTATCACATAACTGAGAGATGACTTCATCTTGAACTAGCAGAGACTCTAAGATGGAGATGCACGCAAAAGGGATTTAAAGACAGGGAACACTTAAACACAAGTTTTCTAGATTATATGACAAAATCGACAGAATGCACACATTTCCTCATCCCTCCCAGGTACATTCATACCCAAATCAGAAGCCACTGCGACAATCCCAAGAGCATCTCTTGTGCAGAGATGAAACCTTATGAACTATAACATGTACATCAACTATGAATATGATCATTGCCTTTTATTAAAATAAAGATGAGAAAATGCTTAAAAACAGGCAGTAGGCTATAAATTGAAGCATGAACTTTGGTCAAAATGGGGACTTTTTTTAAAAAGATTTATTTATTTGTACAGAACTGGAGTACAGGCCAGAGATACGGAGGGTGAAAGGATTCACCAGAGATAGAGCAGGGAGCAGAACAGGCAGATCTACGAAAGTACACTGCTGAGGGGAGCAGCGGCCGGTCAGGAGAGGTCTGCCACGCCCATGTGGATCTCCTCCGGGGCAGGCAGGGATCGAACTCATGTGGAAGTGGCTTAAGCTTCTTTGTGCTGTGCTTTAACCTGCTGCACCACCAAAGAGGGCCAAAAAATGGGGATTTTTAATTAAGTGTATGTATTTTTCATGCAAATAAACTTTAGGTATTTCCCAAGACCCCTATTTGGGGGTTATTGTGACACTCACATAAAGGAAATAATCTGAGCCAACAAGTAACTAGGATCTAAAACTACCGTGTGCCCATAATTCCGGCAGTGTGCTTTTCAAGGGGATCCCAGTAAGAGCTAACATGGTATTACTGACCAACGAGTATACTTCTGTATGCATATACAATATGGTGATAAGTGTGTAATAACTACTAATTAAACCAGTAAGTGTTCTGTCAATGCAGTTTTGGAAAGTTGGTGATGGCTGGGTACTAGAAACTTCTTTTTCATCATAACTTTAGGTTATTTTTCAGGTATCTCTGCATTACATACCATGAAGAATGTGAAACTTACAGGTTCACATGCATCTATGAAAAAATGGACCAGTATATTAAGTTGAATAAAATATATGCTGCTGGAAAAAAGATCCTGGAGTATTTATCAATGGCATGGGTGTCAATTCTCATGCTCATGTAGTTGCTCCTCTGACTTTTCCTCTCTGAGGCCAGCGTTGGCTGCACCATCATCCTGTCTGGTTTCTCTCCGTTATCTGGCAGGTAGCTGCCCAGGTCATTCACCTCCCCGTCCCTGTAGCTGCCACCCAACATGGCGGTGCGCAGCTGAGGGAGCCCACAGGTGCAGAGGAGCTGTGAATAGATAACACGTAGTAATGCAAATTTAGCTTCACCTCTTAAAAACTCTTTAAAAACACTTTGGGGGAGAATGTTATCTTTTTCTTGTTTCTTTTAGCCCCAGTTAGGGCTCGGGATGGGGAATATTCTACGATAGCTGGTATCCTTGTTTAACTGAAGTCTGTCAACTCTTAGGAAATATCACATTTATCATGATCAGATAATTATTAACTATTCTCTATGGCATCATAAAGTAATATGATCCCTGATAAAAAATTGTTCACAGAGAACTGTGTTATGAAAGCACGTGAGGGAGAGGGAGAATGTGACAGGTTTGGTTTTGTGAAGATAGTTTAACCCTGTATAGTTAAACTATAGAGTTTCTGCAAGAGATAATCACTGATTATTAGCAAGGTGGGAAGGAAAGTAATTCGGGAAATGATGGGAGATGTATGAGCTCACAAATGAAGGAAAGTTTCCTAAAATCAAGGGTGTATTTCCTCGGAAGGAGCTTTATTACACATCTATGTTCACAATTGAATTGTCATTTGTCTCACTAAACTATGACCACTACTAAGATTAAAGTGACCATGTCTTAATTAACTCGGCTTAGCAGTTCTTGGTATATGGTAGGTGCTCAACAAACACTTATGTAGCAATGAAAGATGTAACCCAGAATAAATATTATACTGCTTGTTCTTCACACCAACCCCATAAAGTGATAGAGGAGGGGTTGTCATTGTCTAGAGATCTGATCTGCCCGAGGCTGAGCTATACCAGGCTGCGTCTCTGCACAGCCACATCATGGTAAAGTCACCTTCTCCCGCCACTCGCGCTCCTTCCGCTCCTGCACTGTGGTCAGGTAGTTGACAGCTGCGTACTCCAGCACCGAGAGGAACACAAACACAAAGCTGACCCAGAGGTAGATGTCCACGGCCTTGACATAGGAGACACGCGGCATGGAGGCGTTCACACCTGTGATGATGGTGGACATGGTAAGCACCGTGGTGATCCCTGCAGACAAACACAGAATAAGAAAAAGGCATGTATGGTCACCAAACACAGGAGGGCTTTATGCCTCTGTTATCTGTCCTTCCTCTTCCTTCAGCGTACAGTATTGTCCTCTCTGTCCCTCTGTCCAGCTAAAATGTACGCATCTTGTTCCTCTACCAGTCACGTCCACCCTGAGACTTGCAAGTTCACCTGCAAGTTCATCACAGCAACTGCACACTTTGTCTTTCTGCAGAACACCCAAGACATAGGAGTAGGAAAATATTTCCATTCAACTGTTTAAAATAAACATTACATATATGAGCAGTATGTATGTTTTTTGGTGACAGTTTCCAAAAAAGAGGAAAACAGACAAAGCTTGTTTTAACTTTGGTGTCCTTGCTGCTGGTGCGTAGAACCCTGGACCCTGGGACTATGTGGTCAGTCAGCTCCTACCCCGACCCCAGCCCTACCTGTCTACTTAGCAAAAGAACTTGAGGATCAAGAGATCAAGTTTACAAGGGTGATGTTAACTTCATTTATAGGAGATAGATTTTTAAAACTAGAATGTGTATTTATTTAACATAGTAACTGTTTAAGTGACAGAACAAATATTAAAGGACAGGGCATCTGTCAGGGAAATGTGCCCAGGATTCAAATTAAGTTAAAAATATTTGCTTGAGGCCCTCCCTGGTGGCGCAGCGGATTAAAGCACAGCACTGAGAAGCTAAAGCCACTTCCGCATGAATTCGAATCCCGCCTGCCCCGGAGGAGACCACATGGCGTGGCAGACCTCTCCTGACCCGCCCGCTGCTCCCCTCAGCAGTGTACTTCATCTATCTGCCTGTTCTACTCCCCACTCTGTCTCTGGTGAAGCCTCTCACCATCCCTGAGCCTCTGGCCTGTACCCCAGTTCTGTATGTACAAATAAATAAATCTTTAAAAAAAAAAATATTTGCTTGACAAACACTAACTCACAAGGTTCTGGGGTTGGTTTTTTTTTTTAAGATTTATTTATTTGTATAGAACTGGGGTATAGGCCAGAGATGTGGAGGGTGAGAGGATTCACTAGAGACAGAGTGGGGAGCAGAACAGGCAGATCGAGGAAGTACACTGCTGAGGGGAGCAGCGGGCGGGTCAGGAGAGGTCTGTCGCACCGTGTGGATCTCCTCGCAGGTGGAAACCGAACTCATGCGGAAGTGGCTTAAGCTTCTTTGTGCTGTGCTTCAACCCACTGCGCCACCAGGGAGGGCCCTCTGGGGTCGTTTTAAGGCTCAGGTCCAACCCATTTCCACTAAACTTGGTGGCTCACCCTCTCATTTGCAGTCCTTGAAGTGTCTGAGCAGTGGTAGTGTGTGTGATTGGGGGGTACAGTAATCAAAGTGGGTTTGAGAGTTGATAACAAAAGTGCTTATGGAATACTCACAGAGGAGGGATTCTCAGACGGGGTATGCATAAGATTGCTAGGAGAGCTTGCTCAAAATGCAGTTTCCTGGTCCTCTCTGAGGATCTGATTTTATAGAAGCAGCGAGGCCCAGGAATCTTTATTTTTAACAATTTTGCTCAGAGATTCTATCACAAAGATATGTTGGTTTTCCTTTGAAAACCCCTGTTAGAGAGCACCTCCGGCCAGGACTGCCCCCCACCAATGAAACTCTAACAAGACTGAAGGGTGAACTCTTTGCAGACACCAGTGAAGACTTGGAAACTGCTTTATTACATAAGTTTTTACTAAGTAGTATTTTTTTTTCAACATTCTAATTTTGAACAAGTCAGATTTTTAAATCATGATCGTTGGCTTCTTTCTTGTTTGCTTGTTTTATTACCTGTGTGAGAGGTATGTGAGTGGTTGTTAAAATATTCTATTATTATGGCTTTATCTACTTTTATTTTACTAGTAGTATTTTATCTGCAAATGAATAACGAAGTCTTTCCAAGTTATCATGAAAACAGAGGTTTAGTATCAATTTGAAAGTAATGCTCATATCTGGAAGGAATTGTATTCTCAGAGGCCTGGAATGTGCACTGGCGATGTTCCTTACCTAAGGGGACTCTGGCAGGCACAGCTCTGCGGTCGATCCAGAAGGACACCCAGGACAGCATGACCATCAGGGTGGCAGGGAAATAGGTTTGGAGCAAGAAGAAGAAGATGTGGCGACGCAACGTGAAGTTAATGTACAGACGGTTGTACCAGCCTGGGGGACACAGGAAGAAAAGTAGACATACACCATCACGGCACAGCTCCTTCATAAGGAAAATATATTCAGGGAGTCATAGTGCTTTAGACATATCACCAGAACCTTACCACACCTTTATAAAGTGCTCTAGCGTCACTGCATAACCCACACCATATGAGAGAATCTAAGTAATCTTTGGCCTTGTCCTAAATACAAAAGAGATCCCTTCACAAGGTCATTTAGATTCTTGTTACTCAAAATATGGGGTTGTATGCAGCAGCAGCAGCTTCCCCTAGGAACTTGTTATAAATGCAGGCTCTTGGGTCTTCCCCAGATTCACTAAATTAGAATCTCCTTTTAGTAATATTCATAATGTGATGTTGCTTAGAGTTGGTACCTTTAATAACCTTCTGCAAGGTAATTATGCCATGAGGATAAAGCCCTCATGAATAAAATTATGTTCTTATAAAAGACACCCCAAAAAGCCCTCGGGTCCCTTCTGTGGCATGAAGATACAAAGAGCAGTCATATCTATGAACCAGGAAGCAGGCCCTCAGTAGATACTGAACACCTGCTGGCACCGTGATCTTGTATTTCACAGGCTCCAGAACCATGAGAAATAAATTTCAGTTGTGTAGAAGCCATGCCATCTGTGGTACATTGCAATAGGAATCTGAACAGACTAAGGCAAGAAGGGATTCTCATCTTTGCATTCCAACACCCATGACCCCTTGAAAACCAATTCACACCTTTCCTAAAACAGAGAATGGCCCACCACAGCCATGCTAGAAACCCCCAAACCCACCTGTGCTGCTGTAAAAGGCCAACCTGGTGGTGGTGTGGAACTCTTGAATGAGGAACTGGGACAATGAGATCCACTCGTCTGTCTTTAAGGAGTCGTTGCCTTTTTTCCAGTAGAGCATGAGGTCGTCTTCCGTATAGGCATCTGAAAAGTTGGGCCACAGCATTGTTGGGAGAATAATGCTGCGGGTGTGTCACTGGTTGAAGAATAATAGCCACCACACCAACGTGAGAACAAGCAAGCATGGATATACTGAAGCAAGAGGAAAGAACTCCTGACAGCAGGAGGGGTCCCAAGGAGGAGGCCTATTTACTCCAGCCTGGCTGACTACACACTGTCAGACTTCCTGTTGTCCAATGTGCCAGACTGTTAATTAGGAACTAAGTGGTCAGAAAGTTTTGTGGTTGCTGTTCTTCTGTTCCCTAATTATCCTGTAACCAGATCTTAATCTAGGTGGGGATAGCTCAGCAAAATTTCAGTAAGACACTTCTATTTCCCTAGGAGCTGTTTTGTTCCTTCTGTCCCTATGTTGTTTAAAATCACTGTCCTGTTCAACTTTCCTGCACTGCTGGTGGGAATGCAAACTAGTACAACTGCTATGGAAAACTGTTTGGAGGTTTCTCAAACTGCTAAAAATAGAGCTTCCATATGACCCAGCAATCCCACTCCTAGGTATCTACCCAAAGACACAAAAACACTGATTCAAAAAGACAATTACACCCCCATGTTTATTGCTGCTTTATTTACAATTGGAAAGATATGGAAACAACCCAAATGCCCAAAAGTAGATGACTGGATTAAAAAGATGTGGTACATATACACAATGGAATATTACTCAGTAATCAAAAAATACATGCCTTTTGCAGCAACATGGATGGAGCTGGAAAAGATCATGTTTAGTGTAACAAGTCAGCAGAAAAGGAAAATTACCAGATGGTTTCACTCATAGCAGGAGTTTATATAAAGGACCAAGGGAGAAAATGATAATAACAATGAACAACTATATACCAGAGACATTTTACGGGGGTAGGGTGGGGAATGGGATCAAAAAGTGGGGATGGGGGGGAAGTGCACTGAACTATGGTGATGGCATGGGGATTATAACTAAGATGGAAAAATGCACAAAATGATGTTAAAATAAACTATTATATTATTTTTTAAAATCACTGTCCTATTCCCTAAGTTCTCCTGGTCTCAGTTCCTCTCAGCATCAGGCATCCAGGGGCGGGACAACAAGCTTCCCTGGGTGTTCTGTGGGAGCTTCCCTTGCTCTCCCACACATGCCCCAAGATTGCAATACGATCACTTGAATAAACAAACTGGAGTCTACACAAAGTAAGGCAAAATCCAAAAAAACCAAATCAGTTTTCCCCAGCCTTCCCGCAGTCCTCAGAGCAAACCTCTCAAGAAGAACTGCTCTTAATTCTGGTGGAAGTGTTCACCCCACAATTCAATCTGCCATTTTTAGGTTCAACTATATGAAGTACTACTTTTGAATATCAGAATAAATACCCTCCCTTCCAAATGGATGGAAGGGTGGGTCATTTAGTCTTTTCTTTCTTCTTTCAAGCTATAAAGATGCTGATACTAGTGATGTTTACCTTTAAATACCCTCAGGCAAGAAGGGCTGCATTTTTAGCAAGGAAGGGTCCTTACAGAGACAGAGCAGAACAAAGCCTTTCTCTGCAGACCTCCAGTTGCTCCTCTCCAGGGAAAAATCCAAGTGATTCCCCTTGAGGATCACTCCTCCAGGCTACCATCACCCCATGCACTTTAGGGGCTCACACTTATTACCCCAATTACACAAAACCTACTTGTGTGTCTCAGACTGAGCACAATGGAGGTACATGTGCTCATGTGTAAACACTTCTTTCCAGGGCTTTCTGATGGGGCTTTATTTCTATTTTCTAACCTTTGACTTGTGTGAACTCAGTTACATGTGTTCCTGGCTATAAAACCCAGTTATTCAATCAGCTACTAACCTAATGTTGCTGTGAAGATGCCCTGTGGAGATGACACCTACAAGTGCATGCTAGAAAAAGAAATGATACATGAGAATCTGGATGGACCTGCCCAACTAACTGGAAGGCTTTAAGGGCAGATCTGAGTTTCTCTGAGGAAGAAATTCTTCCTATGGATAGTAGGGTCAGTGCCTGGCCTACTTCCTGCATGGCCCACTCTGCAGATGTCAGAGTAGAACAGGGTGGTCCCCAGGAAAAGGGGAGGTTACAGGTTCCCTGCTCCACCCAAAAGGAGTGTGGAGCTGAGCAGAGAAGAATCTGGAGAGGAGACAGGGAAGGAAGGAAGCAGAATGGAGAGTCGAAAGGAGACCTGAGGGAGTCACGTGGAGCAGAAAGACATGTGAAGAAACTGCTAGCTTCTTCTTGGCCCTGGACTGGTTGAAACAGATGTGGGTGAGAGACCTGGGGGGAGGTGACGACAGCAGCTTTTATCCTAATTTTGATTGTGCACTTTTCCTCCCAGACTTGTCTGGCGATTTCTGACCCTTTTCTATGGGTCCCTGCTGGAAGGTGCTTTAGACTAGGGCCAACCTTCAGGCCTTGCTTTGGGCCAATCCCTTTTGGGATTGGTAACTTTTACCACAAGGGGATGGGTAACTTTGGGTGTTTGACTTAGAAACGATATTCTTTGTCTTTTCTGCATTGTGCACTAATTGTATTAAAGTTCCTTTCCATTAAAGCTCTTATGTCTTGTCTTGATGCTGCAGGTGACAGAATCTATTTAGAACAGGCATGTTTGGGGGCTCAGGGGGTGCCCCTCTCTCCCTGCCCATAACAAGAGTAGTCACACCAGCCAGGTGTGAGTCGTGGCCTGCACTAAGTCTCTCACAATGGCTGGCAGGGCCTGCGTCTCCACCCCCCACCTATGCTCACAGTGGCAGCGTCCTGGGGGCAATTGTTGCCAAACATATTTTTGCCAGAAAAGCCTTTCCTCAGTGGAAATCTTATTCAGCAGAACAATAAAATAGATCAAAACTGTGGGTACATGTGGTGGACTAGGTCTTGGAAAGATACCTGCTATTGCTAACCCTTCTTTACTGCCTTGCTGCACACACATCACAGCTGCTGCCCCAGGGAACTGTGCAACCTGCAGATTCTGCAAAACAAAGTTGAAACTATTGCTACGGGGTGTTAAAAGGCTCAATTGCAGGAATAGAAGGCCTTAGCCTCAAATTGGTTCCTTATTTCGAAAAGCACCCTAGATTTTAGCTTTAATCTAGAGATCACTTCTAAAGCACAGTCATGAAGGAGGAATATACATTGTTTCTAAACTGAACTCCACAGAATGATTTATAAGCTTGGAGCTGATGTCTATAGGAGTCTACTCACAGCTTTCAATCTCCAGGGAGCATGTTTGTGTGTCCAGGGGAAATCGGCTGAAGTCCATGTTGCACATGGCAGTTACTGTAACCCTAGAGACAAAATGACAAAATCCAGGTCTTCAGAGGCTGCAGAACACAAGCGCAAGGTGAAAAGGCCTCCACTTTCTTTCAGTGAAACTGCCTCTTCCCTATATTTCGTAGACAATGGGCCGGGAATTAGGTAAGTCATGGACATACTCTTAGATGTCTGTGTCTCACCTCAGGATCAGTGTGATCAGAATGATCACATTCAAGCATTTTAAAGAATAGTCTCAACAATCAAAGAATGTGAAATAAAAACTTAAATGATGTAGTTTAGTAGAAATTATTAGCCCATACGTTGTTTTATTTTAGATTAACACAAGTTACTGGTGTTTGTTTTTTTTTGTTGTTGTTGTTGTTGTTGGTTTTGCTGATATTCAGTATTTGTACACAATGTCTCATAAATAACATGAGGTACTTGTGTCAGTTGTCAATTAAGCACTTTTTTTTTTTTACAGTGATAGTGTTTTTATATTGTTAGTAATACCTACTACAGTGCAAAGGTGTTTTTAGGGTATAAGTCCATATATTAATGAAAAAAAAAAAAAAAACACTGGAAGATCTCATTGTACCAATGAGCAAGCACTTGCTGGTATCTAATGGTTTTGTTTCATTCTATTGCATCAAAGGATAAACAAATACAGACCATTAATCATAGATGAAAGATCTTCCAGCCAGTAGAAAATTCATTGCATGGCACAGTGGAGAATTCAATACAGGTCATGGACTAGTATTGAACATACATTTTCCCCTCCATTCACATAAATTAACCTTGGAAATTTTCTGGATAATTCATGACCCAATAGGAAAACAATATTTTTAATGTAAATGAAAATTTCGAGAAAGGAAGTTTCTTAAAACTAAGTTGTCTAAATATTTGCCTTAGTCTCCCCAGTTCTATTCCCATGTGGAATGTTTGTGTTCTCAGAGGACTGCTAGCAAATGAGGATTCTTACCTTCCCTAAAAATCCTGACAAAGAGGGTGTGTTGGTGTTGGGTACAGACTGGCAGACAACTTGAACACATAATGGGTGGGCTTCCCTTTCCATGGGTGCATCATCAACAAGAAAGAACAAGGTTGGGAACTCTTGGAGCTAACTCTGGGGACATGACATGTCAAGTGCGGAAAGTATTTGTTCCACAAAAGGAGTGAATGGCTCCTTTCTTTGAGCACATACAGGAACAGATGTTTCTGGAATCACTGACCATGAGACTGGTTCTTTGCATTCAATTTGATGCTTTTCCAATTATAACTAACATGTTGAAGCAGCAGTCTGTGGTGTAACCCTAAACTGTCCCAGTTTAGGACAGTGACTTACTATCATTCATCTTCATGCCCCCAGATCTTAAGATAGGACCTGGCAGAATTTTTATTTGCACATCTCTAGAGTCACCCTCATACCCTGAGAAGACTTGATAGAAATCTGTTGAGTAAGTCAATGAGTAAATGAGGTTGAATAATGCTATACTTGAATGTATTTTATGAGTTAACCTGTTGCTGACAGTATTGACAATACCCAATGACTCCATGCTTTTCCCCAAATAAACCTAAAAACGGCAGTCTTAGTAATTTTAGCCTCTTCATTTCACTTAAATCAAACAAACTTATGGTATTATTTGCAATGAAAATTCAACATCTGTTATCACTACTGGGTGGTTCACTGACTTGTTTTTGAACATACAGGGGTTTTTCCATTCTCTTGCTTTCTCTGTTCTGCCTCCCATTGTACATTTCATGGTGTGTTCATGAGAGCTGATTGCTAGATGGTCAGGAAGTTTACAAGCTGGTGTTAAACATGATCATTATTAAAATGAAATTATATAAACTTAAAATTAAATAAGTTACACTAAAAACATAAGTAATCCTTGAAACACATGACTTCCTAAATATATTTAACTATCTTTAGTGTTGTCTGTACTGCTGTTGGTAATGCCTATTATATTCACACAGTGGAAATTCTACATAATGATTTCCTGCCGTGCATTTCTTTCCAAGTCTGCTTAGGTGATACAAGTTTAGTAGCTTCAATCAGTCACAACAGGAAAATTCACATGATAGAAACTGGCAAATGCTACAATCAGGGCTTGCTGTGTTGTTCTATTGATTGTCTAGACTTAAAGCAGATAAAACGTCAAAGTGCATCATGTCTATCACCATTACATGTGAATAATACTAAATACTGAGGAAATATTTGTCTGACATTTGACAGCTATTACCCAGTTTAACAAAAAAGTTACTATGACTTTGATGAATAAGTGAAGTTACTATGTAATGTTCTTTATTTCACGTTTGAACATGAATAAAACACTCAACGAACATTTGGCAGGTAAGGGAGCAAATGCATATAAACGTTTATGTATACTCTGATTTTGTGGGCAATAGAATTATAAAAAATAGTGGGATTTTATAAGAAATAGCAAATCATAATCTTTGGTACTGGCTGCAGAAGTCATCATTTGGAAAGCATTCTAGGAGCCACACACACTATTCAAAACCAGAAAGCAAAACTGTAGTGGAACCAACGCTTTTCTCGTATTAGACAAATGATCTGCCTTTCTCCCCATGTTCCATGTATAAAGGATGCTGGGGAACAGATCACAAAAGGAGGCTGGAGAAGGGCCCTACCTGAGGCTATAGAGCACTGTCCCATCAGGCTGGACCCGTAGCATGACATTGTCTGTGGTGGTGTCGTGGGTGAAGGAGCGCTTGGAATGCACGAAAAACATGTCAGGGACCCAGATCTTCTTCACCAGCCGCCCATCAAACGTCATGCTGAGGTTGTTGGTGCTGGGGAAAGACAGCCTCTCATCCTTCCAGTAGTGCCGCAGATAGAGGGTCATTGTGAAGTCCTGCAGGCAGAAGGGCAAGAGGGCATCCAGGACATTCTGCTCCTCTGGCTGGAAAGTGAGCTGAGTGAGGGCTTACTTGCAGTCCTTGGGGTTTGCCTCGGTAAGAGGAAGAGAACTCTGCAGAGGAGGGACTTATACAGGGTCCTCTACAGGGGGTGTCCCTGTACCCCATTCTGTCCCCTAACAGTAGCAGCAAACTCAGAAGGCCGCTGCTGCCAGCACTGTGACCTCTGCCTGGAGACCCCAGGCCCACACGGAGCAAGCTGGGAGTGTCAATGCATCAACTCTTTTGGAAGCAACCCTCAACCACAGGGTGGAGTTGAGTCATGGAGGGGGTGCTATTTAAGTACCCCAACATTCTGGGCTCTTAGTTGGGATGGCCCTGAAGTTTGTTAATTGTTTTTTGCCTTCTTAACTTCCCTGTGTCACAGTCCCACTCTCTTCTTATGTTTCCTGGGATGTCCCAAGTAAAATACTTGTGCTAGCTGTTGGTCTTAGGTCTACTTCTTGGAAACCCAAACTAAGATAAGGCTCTAGAAAGTCCTATAAGTCAAACAGGTGTAGTGGTTTATCTAAACCACTAAAAAACATTTTTTTTCAAAGACACACTTTTACTTCTTCTGCATTTGCACAACCAGAAACAGAATCACACTGGTGTGTCTGCTTATTTGCAGCTGAAACCTTAGATCCACTGTGTCTGTCTAAGAGTCTCTGCCCAAAAGGTGCATCTCTACAGCAAGAGCCTGGCCCCTATATAGGGGAAGATCAAGGCAATCACCTGGCTTGGTTTCGTACCAACTAGGTAGTATTTTAACCTTCCTGAGTCATCTTTAATATGGGAGTGGACGTCCCCACTGCCTGGAGAACTGTGAGCCCCAGTGAATTTGGGTCCTGTATGAATGCTTCTGACTGTGACTTTGGTCAGAGAAGCACTTACCATATCAACCTCTGAGATGCTGTCCAAGCTCTCCACCTGCACATCCACGCCAACAGGAATAGCTGGCCCTGGAGACAGAGCATACCTTCTGATTTTGTACCCTATTTCACCATGGAAGCCAATCTCTGACTGGCTTCCATGAGAAAGGAATTGCTTGGTAAATAGGCACTCGTAATCAAAGCCATGTTCAGATCACTGAACAAACCCATACATCTGTCTCTTCACCACATGATGGAACAACTTCTTGAGGGCACATGATGGACCAGGGTGATCTTGGAAATATTAGATTTTTTTTTATTTCAAGGCCAGTCAAACTTAATATCAATTAAGAGTAAGAAAGCACTGTGAAGGGAGTAAATTTCTGTCCATTTCCCTCCCTGCATTCACATAGGGTGGAAGCATGGAATCAACTTGGATCATCAAGGTGGATTTGGATACAACACCAAGAGTATGGACTAGATAGAAACCCCCTTCTAGAACCTGCTTGATTTTTAGGCAAAGATAGCTGGAATAAAAAGAAATAAAAATCAGGAGAAAGATTTCTAAAGTAAGTATTTCTCTAGGAAAAAGAAACCCATAGAGGCAGAAATCCTATCTGACACTAAGAAGGTTGAAATGTGGCAGCCGTCAGCTAAGCTTGAAAGGGCTTTGGCGTCCCTCTGCAGTAAATCATTGTTTCTCAAGCCATTTTTATTTAATTAAACCCAACAGACCACATGCTGCCCTCAGATATGTACCCAGAGTTCCCTCTGCTAGCTCCCAGAGAATAAATTTAGTTCAAGGTTATTTCAGACCATTTTCTGCAGGCAGCTGTAAAGTGAATCGATGACTGTTCCTTTTCCTCCTCTTGCTTGGTCCTCCCCTTGCCCTTCCATAGCCAGCTGCTGGCCTCACTGACCCTAAGCCATCCTCTTCAGGAGTGGTGCTACCCGGCCCTTCCTGAGACTGTGTTCAGCAGAGCCCAGGAGATTCTGGGCAGGGCAGAGAGCTCAGAAGATGCTGTGAGCTGTGTCTTGTCTCTACAGATGCAGACCTGGTCAGGGAAGAGCAAAGTCCTTGGCTTGATTTTCAGGCCCCAAGAAAACAATGCCCAGAGGGTACATCTCCTACCTCCAAAGCCAGGCCTCATGCTGAAGTCATGGTCACCTATCCTCAGAAGCTGCTCTGACTTTGTCAGTGGTGATTTGGTAATATCAGGACTTCGTTTCAGGATTGGGCTGCAAGGGAGAAAACACAGATTGATCGTGTATTACAACCAACTCAGATTAAATGCAAAAGCCAAAAAGCCACATGCATTCAGACTCGATCCTGATAGGTTTGGTGCAATGTGTTGTGTTTTGTTTTTGTTTTTGTTTTTGTTTTTAGTTATTCCATGTCCCTCTTTCCTTTTACTGGGTTACCAGAGAAATGAACTATCCCAGAAAGTCCAAGACAGTGGTTTTAAGAATGGTAAAAAGCTTCAAAAATACCAAAGCTCAAGTCACACATTCAAGACTCATATTTTGGCAGCCAAGGAATGAAGCCTAGAAATTGGTATTTTTGAAAAGCTTCCCAGATATATGACTGGATTAAAAAGATGTGGTACATATACACAATGGAATTACTCAGAAAAAAAAATGTCTTTTAACATGGATGGAGCTGGAAAAGATCATGCTTAGTGATATAAGCCAGAAAGAAATTGGAAAAATACCGATGGTTTCACTCATAGCAGGAGTATAATGGACCAGGCGAGAAAATAATAATAATAATGAACAGCTATATACCAGAGACATTTTATGGGATCAAAAACAGTGGGGGGAAGGAAATGCACTGGACTGTGTTAATGGCACATGGGTGATTTGGTGATGGGAAGCCCACGGGGATTACAACTGAGATGAAAAAATATACAAAATGATGTAAAAGCTTCCCAGATAATTTTCATGTGTAACTAAGGCTGAGAAATACTGGTCCCACAAAGTTCTTTTGCCATTGGGGACTTGACTTGTGGGGAAACCCACAAGAGCCTTCTGAAGCACATTTCTGTAGGTGCAGGCGTGGGTTGCCCTAAGTCTGGAGAGAGGGCTGCTACCTGGGCTATGGACCATCACAGTTAGTGGTCAGCAGGGCAGAGTGAGGCCAGAGGCCACCAGGGGCAGCATCTCCTTCCTCTCTAGTTCCTCACTCAGCAGGATGCCCAGGTACTCTCAAACACATCAGATGAATGAAGGAAGAAATCAACCCCTTAGAGGGGTATCTGAAAAAGAAGGTGGGGGAATCCAAGTAAGAAGCTGGAATGGAAATTGAGCCTGGCCCAGAATTACTTTGGGTCAGACTGAAGCAGAACTGGATGCCACTGCATTTGCCTTCACGATGTGGCTGCTAGGTTAGGTTCTAACCTAGAACAGGTTCCTTAAAGATTTTTTGTAGTTTAATATTTTAAAACACTTTTTTTCTAATTACCTGTTTACAATTTGGAAGTAGATTTATACACGAAGAGAAGCTGAAAGTCACTCAGAAATAATTTGTCACTTCCTTATATAATCTTGAGAGAGAGAGAGACAAAGAGCATTCAAGTTACAATATTTCCCATGCTGTTTCACTTCTTTACTACCAGGGGTATAGCTATTAACTTTCAGATGAAGTTTAACACCCAGCAAAAGTAAGCATCACTAATATTGCTTGGATGCCCATTCTCAGCCAGGCTTTATGGTCATTTATGTTACATGTACTAACCTGGGTTAGTCCTCATGGGCCAGGGAGATCCCCCTCACTGTCATCCCCACTTATTCAAGAGGAAACTAACTCAAAGGTTTGGAGAACTATAGGAGGAATTTCCTCACAGGAGGAAAATTCTGGGGGTCTGGAAGCAAGGCTGGCCTAGGGTCTTGCTGGAAATTTGACAAGAATTCAGATTAGATGTGAAGGGTTCTCATGTGGAAGCTAGAACATACCTACCTAAAACTGGAGGTCATTCATTTATCAAATGAGCTTTGATATTGAATGAGCCCTTGGGAATCATGGAGGAAGAAAAAAGAATAGATATATCTCAAGTTATGATTATATAGCTATGATGATAAACATTTGAGATATCTTTTTGGGACCAACAAAAGGAGCACTTATTTTTTTTTACTTTTTTTTTTTTAAGATTTATTTGTGCATACAGAACTGGGGTTCAGGCCAGAGGCTCAGGGGCAGTGAGAAGATTCACCAGAGACAGAGTGGGGAGCAGAACAGGCAGATCGACTAAGTACACTGCTGAGGGGAGCAACGGGAGGGTCAGGAGAGGTCTGCCGCGCCATGTGGTCACCTCCGGGACAGGCGGGGATCGAACTCATACGGAAGTGGCTTCAGATTCTTGGTGAGGCCAGTGGAGGATACACAGCCTGGCTCTATCTGAGCCCCTTCTGGGCTCTCCAGCTGATCCAACCAGGGCAGCAGGAACTGCACTAGCAAGCTGCAGGCTGCTGGTGCTCAGGCAGGTGCATCCGTGCCCTTGTATCCCCAGCATTTACTACTGGGAACAACCTAATGATCCTTCTAGCCAAACAGCTTGAAGATATCTGCTTTGTTTTCTTTAAGGAGATTTTACAAGGGATCCACACATCTTCCAGAAATAATTAGAAAAGAATCATTCTCATTAACTAGAGGTCCCATTGGTTATTTGAGAAGTACAGATTTGTTCCAACCTAGGATGCAGCCATCAAATAATTGCCCCTTTTAAAATGTGCATACATTCTTTTTCTAAATCTGTCTTTTGCCTAGGACAATTCATAAGAGATTTAAGAATGTGCATTTTAAAAGAAAGCATAAGTCCTATTTCCTAAAAGGGGAAAGCAAGAGAACAAAAAGAAAAGGAGAAAAAAGACATCCACAGAAAACACAGTATGATTCCAGGACAATACTACAAGCTTGCTTTGCATGCTCTCTTCCCCTAAATCCTTTGTTCCTACAAGTGTACTCACCTGCCTTTCTTGGACATCTCGTGTACTTCTCTTCCTGGCCAATGCACTCTGCTTTCAGTGGACAGAACCCATGCCCAACACAAAAGAAAGACGCCAACTTTCATGTTCTGGACAGCCAGCCTGGGTTTCCAGACAGTTCTCTTAAGAAACAGCAAAAAAAGGAAAAGGATGTTCTTTTCCTCTTTTATGACATTATTGATGTATTCACTATTAGAAGGATGTTTACTCATGCAAGAAAAAAATATCAATCCACAGTATGTAATCTGGAGAGCAAGGGAAAGCAATTTCCACTAAACCTGTAAATCCTCCTACGTCAGATGTCAGGGATTTTCTGAACTACGCAGTTAGAGTCCCGTGTTCCACTCGAACGATTTTTTTTTTTTTTTTTTTTTTGGCTAGTCTAACTTAGTTCATCATTAGAAATAGTGAACCTGCTAGTACAGGTCTATCTGTACAGACCAAAGAAATTTTCAAAGTGAGAAAGACAGAGGGCTAAAAGGCTTATACGCCATGTTAATGAGCTCCTCCCTGGACCTATTTTAAGCTTTCAGCCTTTATTTGCTTCAGCTGAGGGCTGGATTTGGCCAGCTCCCGCCCCCACTCCTTCCTGTGGCTGAATCCCTGGAATCTCAGGACACTACCTGTCAGGGTGTCCAGATGGCTGATGAAGATGTCAGATGAAGCTGTGGAGGTCAGAAGACAAGAGCTTTTTCTGTCTTTCTTTTGCACAAGAACTGTATTTGTCAATTGTACTATTTGTAATGGGAACTGCATTGGACTTTTCACATTCTCAAAATACCAGTAATAAATTAGCAATAACTATTAAATCTGTGTGATGTATAAACAGTTTCGGGGGTTGTTTTATTTTTATTTTGTTGCAGTTCAAAGACTCTTATCAGCACAGTCTAGAGTGTGTTTTCAACAAAGAAGAGCACTCACAGGACTTCATGGAGGAGTGCTTGGCAGGTACTTCAGCTGACCTGGCTTGAATAACTTCCTGAGCATGTTGGGTGGACTGAGTCAGGATTTCTAGGACTTTATAGTTGAAAAAGCAGTCAGTTGCATAAAACTGCTAACCCAAATTCCATCAGAACAAGAATTAATTACATGGGCTATACAAATTGATAGGGGAATTTTTTTTCCAAGTTTGATTTGTTGTGATATTCTATACCCTAGCTATGTAAGGAAGGCCCTAACCTAGCTGTAATTCAAATACGTTTGTAAATTCTTCTATTGAAAACTAAAATGAAACACTATTAAAAATAGATAGCATATTAAATATTAAAATATTTAGTTATATTTAATGAAAATATTAAAAGCTGATCTATGATATGATCCAGCAATTACACTCTTATCTGAAAAATGCAAAAGCACTAACTCAGAGGGACACACATACATCTGAGGAATTGTGAAACTACAGCCCTAAATCACAGTGTTTTAAACCAGTACCTCAATAAAAAAATATTATTTTTTAAGATTTTTTTAAAGATTTATTTATTTATTTATTCATACAGAACTGGGGTACAGGCCAGAGATGCAGAGGGCGAGAGGATTCACCAGAGACAGAGTTGGGAGCAGAACAGGCAGATCGACGAAGTACACTGCTGAGGGGAGCAGCGGGCGGGTCAGGAGAGGTCCGCCGCACCATGTGGGTCACCTCAGGGCCAACTCATGCAGAAGTGGCTTAAGCTTCTTAGTGCTGTGCTTTAACCCACTGTGCCAACAAGGAGGGCCCTAAGATTTTTTTTTATGCATACAAGAACTGGGGTGTAGGCTAGAGGTATGTGGGGTAGATTCATACAGAGGTGTGTGGTGAGAGGATTCACCAGGGGCAGAGTGGGGAGCAGAACAGTCAGATCTACTGAAATACACTGCTGAGGGGAGCAGTGGGTGAGACAAGAGAGGTCTGCCATGCCATGTGGGTCAGCTCCTTGGATGGGGATTGAACTCATGCTGCAGTGGCTTCTGATAGTTTGATAGAGCTGAGACTTTAACCCCTGTGCCACCAGGGAAGACTGTAAAAATAATATTATTTTAAAAAATAAAGATAGGCTCTACTAATATGGGGAAAAGAAAGAATAATTTTAAGAGAACAATCAACGAACACTTTCATTTTGCTTTCCATACTAAATCAGGTAGTGACAACTTGAGCCCCAACATTTATACCTATAAATCTCCACTCTGCTGGGCTTTTTTTCCTCTTGACTTGCTTAATATCTAAGGTCAAATACTTCAGATCAGTCAGAGCATTCAAACAGGAGAGAGAGGGGTCAGAACATCTGTCAAACCATTAATACCTGGCATGCCAAGAAAACTGGTATTTATGGTGAGCATTCACAGTAACCACCCCCATTCTGCAGCCACTATTTGAAATCAGGCCAGATTCCTTGATCTTTAGGTCTCTAACGCCCTGTCTGCAAAGTAATCCCTTTGTCATTTCCCTGTGACTCTTCCTGTTGAATCACCAAGCTCTCTGGAAGCTCTCAGATCACTTACACATATTTTATATGGTGGTGACAATAGGCTCCTAGGATACTATTCACTGTCTATACTGACATTTTCATGATTGCTGAAAATCTAGTTTAACAAGAATCCTCAATTGCCTGGAGTTAACTACTTTTTGCTTCCTAAGTCTTATATTCATACACCCCGTTGAGTGTGTCCGACTGTGGTAGCTACGACTGCAGTGTCAACTGGCCTATGACTTTTTGATAGCAAAACCTTACTTTTATCTATACATTTTTTTTCTTTTAAGTGTGGTGTCTAACACTTGAAATATTTGCTGCATGGATAGATGTCTATGTCTAATTTTTTTTTTTTTTTGCACAATGGATATATCATTGTCCCAACACCATTTGTTGAAATGCACATTCTTTCTCCTTTGAATTCCCTGCTTCATTGTCAAAGATCAGTTGTCTATATTTGTGTGGGTCTATTTCTGGGCTCTCAATTCTTTTCCACTGATCTACTGTCCACTCCTTAGGTAATACCACAATGTACTGATTACTATAGTTTTTACTCAGCCTTGACGTTGGGTGATGTCTGTCCTTTTGCTTTTTTCATTCAATACTGTGTTGGTTATTCTTAGCCTTTACCTTTTTAAATAGGCTTATTTGTTTTTTTAAGATTTCTTTTTATTTATTTACGAATAGAAGAATTGGGTGTAAGCCCAAGGTGCAGGCCATGAGAGGATTCACCAGACACAGTGAGGAACAGAATAGACAGAGCCCCCCTTTTAAGTAAACTTTAAAATCAGTTGTTGATATCCACAAAATAACTTAATGGGATTTTGATTGGGACTGCACTGACACTATCAAGTAACAACATTGTTACTTGAAGAATTGTAACAACATTGAATCCTTTTATTCATGAACATAGAATCCATCTCTATTCTATCTTCTTTTGCTTTCACTAGACAAATAAGCGAATTAATACTGGAACTTCATGTTTGAAACTATTTCTGGAATGACAAGAACCTGAAGCATACCATAGACATTTCTTGTTTTTAATATTCTCTTCGTGTGAATGATTAAAGAGGCAAATCAACATTTTTTGAGCAGTTACATCCAAGATAACTTGACTGAATACGCTACTCCAACTGCAACTACCCCAGTCCAGGCCTCAACATCTCTTCCCCAGGCCAGGACAGTACCTTTCTGATCAGCCCCCGAGTCTACCTTTGCCCCTGAGCCAGCTATCAATGTACTATCTTTGAACCTCAAGCTCACCCCTCTTTCCCTACTTTGTGAGGTTTGAACTGATCTCTGCAACCCAATTTTCCTTTGCTGGCCGTCAGATGCCAGGATTCACCAAAAGAGGGTGCTGGATAGTCTACAGACTAAAGGAAGGAAAAGAGAAATTTCCTTCTAGTTTGTTTTTGAAGGTGGTAGCTAGGAGCACCATGTGCAATTGGTCCCCCTAGCGTTCCTCAACATGGCTAAGGTTCTTTTGGTGTCAGTGAGCAGCCCTAGTAAGCTGCTTCTTCCAAATGGCAGGCAGCCTGGCCTGCAGCTGCTGCGCACCTCTTTATCAGAATTTGAGAGTCAGACCTCCGCCTCGTTTCCCATTTCCTTCTGGTTTATCTTCCCCTCAGTCTGAGGGTTACTTACTATAGTTGCTGCTTCTGTCCACTCAGTCTTCTACCCTTCCATCTTGTGTCTGGTTAACAACTCCAGCTTAAATTACTGTTTGAATCACTGGTGTGGTTTTACACTGACTAAAACACTCCTCAGTCAGTATATCTTTTGAAAAGTTGGATCCCACTGATTGTCAGTGGAAATAAAAATCAGAATAAAATACAGCTTAGGACTGTAAGATAGATGGACCCTCCACCCTGCTGATACACTTTGTAGTTTCCCGATGGACTTTGAGGAAAAGCTCAACTCAACTCTCTATCCTGTCCTTAAGACCCTGACTAGGCCTAGGTTTATCTGGCTTCCTGGCTGGATCTCTCTCCTCTCCTGACAGCACATTAAAGGTGATAGTTTCCTCCTGCCTTGGTCAATTTTATGTGTCATCTTCGCAAGTCCTGGGACACGGTTACTTAATCAAATACTAATATAATCTTGCTGAGAAGATATTTAATATATGGGGTTCACATTATTAAAGTAATCAGATTAGATCCAAGACAAAGTCACTTCAGTTAACTGACTGGAACTAAGTCAGTTAAACTGGAAATCCTACGTGAGCAAACTAAGCTTTTATGCTTGGCTCTGTAAACTAGTCAGCACTTGTTTGCTCAGCACGTTACCTGACCCAGTTCCAAGATTTTGTGCCACAGAAGGAAAGTAATTCTCCTTTAACCAATCATCAAATGCCCAGTGTAACTTTCTTGTTGCTGCCCTCTTTGAGTCTGTAAACTATCTCACCCTGTGTAGCAAGCTGGAGCTCTTGTCTATGTGCTAGGTCAGATGCCACCCATTCATGAATCACTAAATTCAAAATTTGTGTCTGTGAACAAAGTTTCTTTCTTTCTTTCTTTCTTTTTTTTTTAAAGATTTATTTGTGCATACAGAACTGGGGTACAGGCCAGAGCTGCAGGGCCAGTGAGAGGATTCACCAGAGACAGAGCACGGAGCAGAACAGGCCCACTGATGAAGTACACTGCTGAGAGGAGCAGCGGGCGGGCCAGAAGAGGTCTGCCACGCCATGTGGTCAC